TCTGCGATAATGGACGGTTTAATCGGTGGAGAAGCGAANAGCGGCGAGGCTGCGTCGGCGCCATCGTCACCGAATCCGCATCCAACGACTTTACCTCCTCCATTTCTAAGGAAAACATATGAGATGGTTGAAGATCCGGCGACGGATTCGATTGTTTTTTGGATGTTGATTCATGAATTCGACAATAAATTTATATACAGTAAGAGGATCGGAAATTCTCGTTTATTGATATTAACTCGGAAACTGGAGCTCGGAAGCTTAGATCGGTTGACGAACCTTGTGTTCGGTTTTCTGAGTATCGGGATGTGGAATGAGATCGTCGCTTTCAAGGTCGGAACCTGTGACTGAAAACGAGATCGGGTTAGAGATCTAGATTGACTGAATAACAGGATGACGAGGTCGGTGAATCGGAGGTCGGAACCTGGTGATAAGAGCACTTGAGGTCGGAATATCGGTGTGATAAGTACGAACTCTGCACAGCCTTTCTACGAATAATTCTTGTACTTTCTGATCAATCGGGNTTGATCAGGCGGTTCTTTCCTTTTTGGTGTTAGAGAATGATTGCTTTTAGCTCTCAAATTCCCTTGTACTTGCCCAACAGTGGAAAANTCATGCCANAACTCATGGGATNGGGACCCCTATTTATACTAAAAGTGGAGAGAATAAGGTACTAGGGTTGCCTTGGGACCAGTGCTGACGTCATTCACTGCAGAAGACGGCTGGGCTTTCTTTGGGCCTGGATCGTCAGTTACTGGGGCGAGCTCGTCGGACTTCCACCTTCTGGGCCGAACTCGTTGGACTTCTGTTCGCTGGGNTTTTTNGNAAGTGGGCTTTAAAAGTGACTACTGTTGAAGCCCATGCCCAACATTGGAGTACGAATAATAGCTTCGTCGTCTGGAAGCCAATTGAGTTTTCTCGTGTTCTTATTCAGAAATACTTCCAACGCAACAATTTCTACAGCTTTATTCGTCGATGAAAAGCCTATGTAAGTTTGTAAAATCCCTAATTGTATAAATCGCCAATTGAATAAACTCGTTGTGAGACTGAACTTAAGATTATGTTTGACAATTAGGGTTTTAGGCAAGTGGTTCAAGATCGATGGGAATTTGCTAGTGAAGATTTCGTAAGAGGTCAAGAGAGCCGGATAGAATCTGGTAGTAGTAAACAAGAAGGTTCAATGGCTGGTAGTAGTAAACAAGAAGGTCAAGAGAGCCGGATAGATGGTTCTTCTACTACAACGTAAGTGAGACTGAGAACTTGGTTGGCTTTTGTTAATACATATTCTTGTTACAACATAATCAGGGAGAGGATTTGATTTCAATGATCAATTGCACAGGGTTACCAGAAAAAGAAAAGAGAGAGGGTTTTTAGATGATTCTGATGATGCTTGGATTAGAAGAAGAACTAGGAGGGGATTTACAGATGGTTCTTATAGCTTGAATGATGAGTCCGATACTCAACCTCCTCTGCGTGAAGATTGGAAGTCTCTGATAGAAGTCAACGATACTCAAAGATACTCTGTTATACTCTGTTACGCAACTCTCGTTACTTAGTTAATATTGTTTGTAACGTTCCTCAATGTATGGAACGTCTCCTGATTTTGTGTAACCACTAAGGCTATATAAAGCCGTGTAAGTCATTTGTTAATATTGGGGAAATATATTAGCTTTCAGTCTCCTCCTCCTCCAAGAAACGGAAGGAGCTTAATGAGTACTGCGGCTGCTATTCTGAACCTAGAAAAAGAAATGCTTTGGAGAATTGGGTTTTATCAACTGAAATTGATCATACTCGGAGGTCTCCATTCCGTGGAAAAAGTTACAATAGGATCCCTAGTTCGTGCCCTCCTCTGACCTCGCAACTGCTAGACAATGAATTGTCTCAAGAGCAAAAGGAAAAGGTAGCTTATTCACTTTCTCACTTGTGCCATTATAGCTGCTCAAAACTGTGCTTTTTTCGTAGGATTTGGACGTAATTTGGGACTACGAGAGCTCTGAAGTACCGTACGATGTTGATAAGACTTGTGTGTGTGAGGAAATTCTGAAAATTCTAAGGGAAAAAGGGTTTGTGGGCAAGATCAGAATCACCATAGTCCTTGGCTATCTAGATTCTATACCGGAAAATGTATTAACTGATCTTTACAAAAACAAAGGTCTTGTGATTGAGTTTGCCCACCATTACAACCGTAAGATCTCATTCACAAATATCTCATGTCACAATGACTATCACAATGACAAAAACTGACTTTTTTTGAGTTTCCAAGGGAGATCAGGCGGCTGATATCTTTATTATCAATCTTTTTGAAACATGGGTTCGGAAGAAGATTCCTCCACAAAATGTTATTCTAGTAACATGTGACAATGGCTACAAAAACTCTTTGGAACTGTTAAGAAAAGCGAAGCATTTTACTATAGCCATTGTGAGAGACTTGAACAAAATTGTTGTTTCCTTAGACTTGGTAAACACCGCTGAGTTGGTGTGGGACTGGAGAACCTTCTTCGGGCTGGGTGAGGGAGAGTGCAAGAAGAAACGAAGCCAGAGGAGGCTATTTTTCTGAGGTAAAGTATTTTACTTTTATTTTATGTCACTTGAAACAAGTAAGTTGTTTACACACTAATCAATACATTCGCTGAAGCTCTCTTGGTTGATTGATTCTAGGTACAATTACAAGTTTTTGAAGGCAACTGCAAATATACCGATGAACGTTGTGAGAGAAAACAGGGGAAGCAAAGAGGAGGAATGCTTAAAGTTCAACACTTGGTTTCGGTTTCTAAAGTTTTAGCTCCACAAGTCGAATCTGCAGGGTATCAACCAGAAACAATTTGCTTATATAGACTTAGTAGTACCTTAATAATTTTGTAATGCTTCTTTTCCTTAGTCCCTTAATAGTACCAGAAACAATTGTTGTTTTAGACTTGCAAAGGTACCTACCGGACACTGCGTGTCGTTTTACTATCCTTTCTCAGAAGTTTTTGTCATGGCTGCCGTTTCGATTTAGCCTAAACGACACCGTCCAATTGAAGTACTTGTCGTTTCGGTATATTTTGTCAGATGTTATGTCGTGTGACGTTTTCAGGCTATTCAATTGTGGAGATAAAGT